TCACACCCCTTGACTTTTTCCACATTTTGTTGTGTTACAGCCTGAATTTAAAATGTATTAAATTGAGATTTTTAGTCACTGGCCTACACACAATCCCCCATAATGTCAAAGTGGAATTATGTTTTTAGAAATGTTTACAAATTAATGAAAAATGAAAAGCTGAAATGTCTTGAGTCAATAAGTATTCAACCCCCTTTGTTATGTCAAGCCTAAATAAGTTCAGGAGTAAAAATGTGCTTAACAAGTCACATAATAAGTTGCATGGACTAACTCTGTGTGCAATAATAGTGCTTTTGTATGACTACCTCATATCTGTACCCCACACATACAATTATCTGTAAGGTCCCTCAGTCAAGCAGTGAATTTCAAACACAGAATCCATCACAAAGATCAGGGAGGTTTTCTAATGCCTCGCAAAGAAGGGCACCTATTGGTAGATGGGTAATGAGCATGGTGAAGTTATTAATTACACTTTGGATGGTGTATCAATACACCCAGTCACTATAAAGATACAGGCGTCCTTCCTAACTCAGTTGCCAGAGAGGAAGGAAACCGCTCAGGGATTTCACCATTAGTCAAATGGTGACTTTAAAACAGTTACAGAGTTTAATGGCTGTAATAGGAGAAAACTGAGGATGGATCAACAACATTGTAGTTACTCCACAATACTAACCTAAATGGCAGAGTGAAAAGAAGGAAGCCTGTACAGAAAAAAATATTCCAAAACATGCATCCTGTTTGCCAACAATGTGGCAAACAAATTAACTTTATGTCCTGAATACAAAGCATTATGTTTGGGGCAAATCCAACACAACACATCACTGAGTACCATTCTTCATATTTTCTAGCATGGTGGTGGCTGCATCATGTTATGGGCATGCTTGTCATCGGCAAGGACTAGGGAGTTTATTAGGATAAAAATAAATGGAATAGAGCTAAGCACAGGCAAAATCCTAGAGGAAAACCTGGTTCAGTCTGCATTCCAACAGAGACTGGGAGACAAATTCACCTTTCAGCAGGACAATAACCTAAAACAAAAGGCCAAATATACAATGGAGTCGCTTACCAAGATGACATTGAATGTTCCCGAGTGGCCTAGTTACAGTTTTGACTTAAATTGGATTGAAAATCTATGGCAAGACTTGAAAATGGCTGTCTAGCAATAATCAACAACCACCTTGACAGAGCTTGAAGAATTAAAAAAAGAATAATGTGCAAATATTGTCCAATCCAGGTGCGCAAAGCTCTTAGAGACTTACCCAGAAAGACTCACAGCTGTAATCACTGCCAACGGTGATTCTAACGTGTATTGACTCAGGGTTGTGAATACTTCTGGAAATGAGATATTTCAGTATTTTATTTTCAAGAAATTTGCAGCAATTTCTGAAAACATGTTTTCACTTTGTCATTATGGGGTATAGATTTAATCCATTTTGAATTCAGGCTGTAACACTACAAAATGTGGAATGAGTCAGGGGGTATTAACACTATCTGATGGTACTGTAAAATCCCTATTAATTAAATAGGCTCTGTGTGGGCCTACTCGTAAAGAAGTGTCATTTAACTTTTAAAATGTATTACCTTTTATTGTGGCATAAACACAACCAGTCATAATGTTTTCCTCTGATTCTCAAACAGTCACTTCAAAGGGCTCCTTTACTAGGCTACCCTAGCACGTTCATCCACTCGCAACATATTTCCAGCCTCCAAACAGTGGTGAATGGAAAGAGACATCTGTTACACCAAACACCAAAAAGTGTAATGACATTTGGCGATTGTCATTAGGCCAGAATTGATGTGTCCACTGCTGTCCGCGCGCGACTCAGTTTCGGCCACTCTACTACATCACATTTTGGCGCGTAGGCTGCTTACCACCGGTTTTCAAGTCCATTCGCTCATTTTTCACATCGCATTTTGGAGCGTAGGCTGCTATACCACCAGTTTTCAAGTCCATTCGCTCATTTGTCATGCCTCTGACATGCGGTAAAGATAAATTAAGCTTACAGTTTTCTTGACATTTTTATTTTTAATTATTGTGATAGGCACATGTTTTACTGGTAAGGTGTACCCCCACTATTTATTTAGCCGAGACGCTGTACCGGACCGTATCGCCTTACTTTCACCCATGCTCATACTTTCATTACAACTAGAAATTCTCATTTGGGCATCTTACCTAAAAAAGACTGTGGAACTAGTTACACACACAGTGCTTTTAACATACAATGTTTTCAATTTACATATTTGGCACACTGTGACATACATGATGACCTTGTGCATGTTCATTGATACAGTAAATATTATTCAACATGTCCTCACCTGGGATTTGAACTCACAAGCAACCTCTTGGTTCATGGCATTTCCGATCTTCCTCTTATGCCACCAAGTCTGTGCAAATTACGAGTTTATCTGACTATTCTCTCATCATTGGTTTGATTTCATTATTTCAGCAATTTTAGCTTTTTCTTTATAGTTGTCTTATGTTGGTGGGGCATATTACTCTGTTTTAATGTTACTCCTTAATCACTATGATAAATATAATAGTTTTTCTTGGGTGTACTTAAAAGTACACAGAGCTGAAATTGACTTTGAATTGCAAAGTGTAGCAATACAGGTGAAATCAGTCATTGACACACGGACATGGTGGCGACTACATAGCAGGAAGATTGGAATGCTGTGAAGCAAGATGTTATGAGTTCAAATCCCATGTTGAATATAAATTACTGTATAAATGAACATGCACAATGTAATCATTTATATCAAAATGTCAAATCTGTAAGTTAAAAATATTGTATGGTAAAAGCATTGTGTGTGTGTCACAACTACACTATCGGTCAAAAGTTTTAGAATACCTACTCATTCAAGGGTTTTTCTTTATTTTTACTATTTTCTACATTGTAGAATAATAGTGAAGACATCAAAACTATGAAATAACACATATGGAATCATGTAGTAACCAAAAAAGTGTTAAACAAATTAAAATATATTTTATGTATGAGATTCTTCAAATAGCCACCCTTTGCCTTGATGACAGCTTTTCACACTCTTGGCATTCTCTCAACCAGCTTCATGAGGTAGTCACCTGGAATGCATTTCAATTATCAGGTGTGCCTTCTTAAAAGTTAATTTGTGGAATTTCTTTACTTCTTAATGAGTTTGAGCCAATCAGTTGTGTTGTGACAAGGCTGTGTAAGGGCTACAGAAGATAGCCCTATTTGGTAAAAGACCAAGTCCATATTATGGCAAGAACAGCTCAAATAAGCAAAGAGAAACGACAGTCCATCATTACTTTAAGACATGAAGGTCAGTCAATATGGAAGATTTCAAGAACTTTCAAAGTTTCTTCAAGTGCAGTCGCAAAAACCATCAAGCGCTATGATGAAACTGGCTCTCATGAGGACCGCCACAGGAATGGAAGACCCAGAGTTACCTCTGCTGCAGAGGATAAGTTCATTAGAGTTACCAGCCTCAGAAATTGCAGCCCAAATAAATGCTTCACAGAGTTCAAGTAACATACACATCTCAACATCAACTGTTCAGAGGAGACTGCGTGAATCAGGCCTTCATGGTCGAATTGCTGCAAAGAAACCTCTACTAAAGGACACCAATAAGAAGAAGAGACTTGCTTGGGCCAAGAAACACGAGCAATGGACATTAGACCGGTGGAAATTTGTCCTTTGGTCTGGAGTCCAAATTTGAGATTTTTGGTTCCAACCGCTGTGTCTTTGTGAGACGCGATGTGGGTGAATGGATGATCTCCGCATGTGTATTTCCCACCGTAAAGCATGGAGGAGGAAATGTTATGGTGTGGGGGTGCTTTGCTGGTGACACTGTCTGTGATTTATTTAGAATTCAAGGCACACTTAACCAGCATGGCTACCACAGCATTCTGCAGCGATACGCCATCCCATCTGGTTTGGGCTTAGTGGGACTATCATTTGTTTTTCAACAGGACAATGACCCAACACATGTAAGGGCTATTTTACCAAGAAGGAGAGTGATGGAGTGCTGCATCAGATGGCCTGGCCTCCACAATCCCCCGACCTCAACGCAATTGAGATGGTTTGGGATGAGTCGGACCGCAGAGTGAAGGAAAAGCAGCCAACAAGTGCTCAGCATATGTGGGAACTCCTTCAAGACTGTTGGAAAAGCATTCCAGGTGAAGCTGGTTGAGAGAATGCCAAGAGTGTGCAAAGCTGTCATCAAGGCAAAGGGTGGCTATTTGAAGAATCTCAAATATAAAATATATTTTAATTTGTTTAACACTTTTTTGGTTACTACATGATTCCATATGTGTTATTTCATAGTTTTGATGTCTTCACTAATATTCTACAATGTAGAAAATAGTAAAAATAAAGAAAAACCCTTGAATGAGTAGGTGTTCTAAAACTTTTGACCGGTAGTGTAGTTCCACAGCGTTTTTAAGGTAAGATGACCATAAAATAATTTATAAATTGAATGAACATATGAGACAATTTAGGCAAACACATCATTTTAAGTTGACAGAAATATTTGACCATGTTTTCTGAAGTTGGAGCTAAGTTTGAGCCAGCCCATTTTTTTACTAGTAGTTCAGGTAACACTTGCTCCGAAGAGTTGAGTAAACAAAAAAAAAGGTCTGTGGAACCAGTTACTGAATAATAATTAGTTGAAACAATGTAGTATTAAAGTGTTTCTGATAAATGCAAAGATTAAACCCAGTATAGTCTCCAAGGAACCCTCAAGGAGTTCTACAGCCAATCTTTTAGATTGTTTGGGTGACTTAATGTCTTTTAACAAGCAGGTAATGGGTTTTTATGAGAAATTCTGAAGTTTGGGCTGTGCTATAAGATTGTACAATATAGTAGATGGTCAATAAATTCCAACAATAAATACAAGTAAATGACAAAAAAGTATATGTTTTTTAAAAATGCGCTTGCAGGCTAGTGACTTTTGACACATGGCAAAAAATAATTACATCACATGCACTTTATAAAACCTCATTTTACACAAATAACCTATTTCTATTTTTTCTGTCTATCAGGCAATGCTGAACATAGTGCCGGTGTCCCAACACTTAACTGTGAAGTTGCCCTCTTACCACCAGTGTTCCCATAGCTGCTGACATCCTCCTGCTCTGTCTGCTCAGGGCTCTCATGGGAAGAGTCCTTTATGACACTGTAATACACTGGGACATTGTACTTGGTAACCTTCTCTGGGTCTTGTCCGTTGCACTTGCAAAGCTTTTTGAAGGCTGCCCGGAACTTCTGAGACATCAGGTTGTAGATGATAGGGTTGATGGCACTGTTGGTGTAGATGCATATGCGGCAGAAGAGCAGGAACCATGTGTTTAGGTAGGGTGGGTCCATGAAAGAGTTGACCACCACCAGCGTCCGGTATGGCATCCAGAGCAGGGCAAAACATAATCACCACCACTGCAAGCATCTTTGTAACCTAAATTATGGGGCACAGGGCAAAAAATAAAATAATGCACGGGTGCAATAATTGACTCAAATGTTGCTGGTTGTTTTTTAGTTGATCGTTTTTTGTCTGATGAAAGGCACTTTATGCCTGAAATTCAAACTGCAAAAACAAAACAGTGTTTTTCTGGTGTAGTGTAGAACATTCTAATGATGGTAAACATAGAGGCGACAATTACATGATTCCATGGACTTTGAAACCATTACTATGAGCCTGCAGTGCTGTATCCTCCCTTTCTTGAATTACAATCCAAGTACTCCGCCCACATGACCAGTCCAGTTAGGATTGTTGTAATCCCATACTACATTGATAAACTGTCCAAGTGGACCATTAATGCTGTAGCCTAAATTATTACTGTGAACACATTTTTTACGCTATTGTCAATTTAGAAGCCTTTATGAAGCATTTATTACTATCCTCCTGATCTGAATAGCATACCTGTTTTCTTGACGTCACTGCACCATTGTTTGATTTGCCCAACACCTTGACTGTGCTGGTGGAGCGTCCCTGGTGTATAGAACCTTCACTTCTGCCGTTGAGATTGGTTGGCAAGGGGCTCATGAATAAAATCCTTGCGATGAGACCGTACAGCACAGTAGCCACAATCAGAGGGATGACGTAAAACAAAGAAAAGTCTAGAAAGTAAATTGGCATGTAGAGGTTTCTTGAGACACGATAGCCACAGCTGACCACCACCCCATTGGCGTAGACAGTTTCGTTCGTGTCCACTAAAAATAACCACATTAAGCAGTAAAGCGAGGTGAAAATCCACACAAAGGCAATTATCCTCTTCGCCCGAGACACAGTGCAAATAAATTGCGCCTTGATGGAGTGGCAGATAGCAATGTAGCGCTCAATGGTGAACGCTGTGATGGAGCAGGATGATACATTGATACCCAGGTATTGCAGGTATGTGATGCAAAGGCACCCAGCGTAACCGTATATCCAAGAATCGACTACTTCAGAAATATTGGGTAAACCTGCCGCTAAAAGGACGATAAGGTCCGCAATAGCCAGACTGACAAGATACCAGTTAGTAGGGGTCATCATGTGCTTTGTGCGTAGCACAACCAACACCACCATTATATTACCCGCTATCCCAACTCCGCATATTAGAAGTGCGAGAACAATTGTTATAACTTGTACTTCAATGGAGTTCTGTGGCATATTAGTCAGAACTTCATTCTGTGTGAAATTGATGACATCTTGAGATGTGTCATTAGTATTCTCCATGGTGTTTTACTTGTATTGGCACATTTCTTCTGCTTTAATTTGCCTTGAGGTGGAACAAAATTAAGATACAAATGATTCCAAGATTGCCCAGAATATATCAAGTTCTAGTGAAGCATTTTTTTTTTCACAATAAGATACAAATATCAGCCAATAATCATGTGAGATGACAAAGAAATTTGAAATGAATGAAAGAGCTACTTATATAACAATTACAATAATTGAAAATAGGCAGTTTAGCGACCATGGTTAGGAAAGGTCTAAGCTTCATAACTCACCAAGTCCAGCGGATATCCACAGAGACAGTAGTAAAAGGACTACTTGGTCTCTCAGTGATGCTGTACTACTCCCTCATCTCTAAACACACACTCTCTCTCTCTCTTTCTCTCTCTCTCTCTCTCTCTCTCTCTCTCTCTCTCTCTCTCTCTCTCTCTCTCTCTCTCTCTCTCTCTCTCTCTCTCTCTATCTATCTATCTCTATCTCTCTTTCCATCTCCATCTTCAGCCACACTTCAAACGGTGCAGTGTCCTTACTGCTGCTTTGGCCCATCTTATTAGGTTTGGTCCTATGGGACATTATCAAAGTCTATGACTATGACTATGACTGTGACTGTGCGACGTGATGATAAACCCTGCAGTTAACCACAGCAAAATTATAGACTACAACTCAGCCCTGTCTATTACTAGCAATGACAATATGGTGTTAATTACCCAACAATGAAGTGTGTACATAATGGTTGCATAAATGCTGGAAATATGTCACTTGTTTTTATCATGAAGTTAAGCAGGGTTCTTTTTATGTCTACTTTCTGGCAATTGAGACCAGCTAAGATTAGTGTTGTATAGTAACCCCCCCCAAATACACTGCAGAGGCAGATCACCTTTGACCATGAGTCTCTCATAATCACTCCATTAGACAAAGCTCGACTTACATTTCCCTGATGCTTAATTAATGAAATGTTTCTTGTATGCTAGCTTGGTTTAGAATCTATAGATAAAGTTACAGGCAAGATATTATACAATTTATTAACTTTATTTTTTATTTTGATACAGAACCAAAGATTTATGACAAGATAAATTATATGAATTATTATTTTTTTCCAGGCCTCACAGCAACAAAGCATATTATCTTGACACAATCTTGAATTATGGGGTAAACATGACGAAAAATGAAAGGGGACAAAATGGCTGGATTAAAAATAGATGAACAGACATTATATTAATACACTGGCTAAAATAGCCTTCTGATGCCTCCTGGGAGTTGAAAGTAGTGTGCTGGTAGGAATGCAGATGCCGTTTTAATGTATAAATTAAAAATGTTTTTGTATACCAACAAAAGTCCAAGAGGTACAGAAACAGTTTTTGCTCTCAGAGAGACTTTAAATTAGTTTTGTGTCATATGAAAATACGTTTTACACAATCTAATCCATCATTGACCAGAAAGAATAAACAGTAATACCAAAACACTAAAATAATAATCATGCTTGTTATATGTGGATTTTAAAGCATTATTTTATTTATTCATTTGTGCACATGAAATGTCATACTGTAAGACTGTGCCAAAATATTTCCTATTAATTTAATTGCAAAAATGGTTTATTGACACAGATTTTCAATGAGTTTGTTTTATGATCATGTAAAGAGTATAATGTGTGTTTTTCATAGCCTATTTGTGCCATAAAAGCATCTCAAATGTACTTAGTGACACCTAGTGGGGCTATGTAGACATCAAACCAACTGTCATCTGTTGATTGTGTAGTTCTTCCTGCAGTAATAAATAAAGTAATAAATGGTCCTGTTCCTCAAGTGGAGTAAAATGTATTTTATCAATGTATTTTAACGCATCAACCTTTTACAATATAAAAGATTGAGTGAAAACGCTTGTGATTGTATGTTAGAGGGTATTTAATTTAGTCTAGAAACATGGTCAAATGAGTGTATTGTTGAGAGGAGGCAGTGTGGGCGTAAAGTGGTGCTCCACGACCAGCAGAAAGGTCATATTACTGTGACTCACTAACAGGATGTCCTGTCCTCAACAGGCCCTTTGAATCAGGCAGGGCAGGATGTTGGCACTGGATTCATCAATTGTATTTTACCACAGGGATAAGTCTGCTTGTGTCACTTCGGAGTTTATGTTTTTATTCCATCTTTTTCCAATCTATTTTGTATATTACAGAATCAGTTGAATTTGGAAATATTGAAAAATGTAATCGACAAATTCTCTAAGCTGACAGCTGTAGAGACTTAGGAGTTTTTTTTCCCAATTCTAAAATAAATCAGAACTATTATAACGGCAAGAAATTAAAACAGGAGCAGGGAAAAGCACTAAAAGCAGTTTTTGAGTTCTACAGCAGAGGTCTCCCTAAACTACAAATAATGACAGCAAGTCAAGCTTCAAATCAAATAAATCAAATCAATCACATTTTATTTGTCACATGCTTCGTAAACAATAGGTGTAGACTAACAGAGAAATGCTTACTTACAGGCCCTTCCCAACAATGTAGAGAGAAAAATATAAATAAAATAGAAACAATATAATAACACAAGGAATAAATACACAATGAGTAACGATAACTTGGCTATTTACACAGGGTACCAGTACCGAGTCGATATGCAGGGGTACGAGGTAATTGAGGTAGATATGTACATATAGGTAGGGGTAAAGTGACTAGGCAACAGGATGGATGATAAACAGTAGCATATGTGATGAGTCAAAATAATTAGTCCAAAAAGGTTCAATGCAGATAGTCCGGGTAGCTATTTGGTTAACTATTTAACTAACTATTTAGCAGTCTTATTGCTTGGGGTTAGAAGCTGTTAAGGGTCCTGTTGGTTCCAGACTTGGTGCATCGTTGCCGCTTGCCGTGTACCGCTTGCCGTGCGGTTGCAGAGTGAACAGTCTATGACTTGGGTGGCAGGAGTCTTTGTCAATTTTTAGAGCCTTCCTCTGACACCGCCTGGTATAGAGGTCCTGGATGGCAGGAAGCTTGGCCTCAGTGATGTACTGGGCCGTACGCACTACCTTCTGTAGCGCCATGCGGTCGGATGCCAAGCAGTTACCATACGAAGCAGTGATGCAGCCAGTCAAGATGCTCTCAATGGTGCAGTTGTATAACTTTTTGAGGATCTGAGGGCCAAATCTTTTCAGCCTCCTGAGGGGGAAGAGGCATTGTCGTGCCTTCTTCATAACTGTGTTGATGTGTGTGGACCCCGTCATTCAGGGCAGGTTTTAGCAACAAAACAAAAAAAAGGCTTGCCTGTTTTGCATGTTATTTTGGCATTAATACGTGTCACTTATCAGTTTGCAAACAATGACACAAAAAAAAAGCATTGAGTTAATATAGCCGCATACAAACATGGTCTATTTTTTGCTTTATTGAGTAAGGCAGCTCCAAAATGCAGGTGTTTCAGCCTAGCTCAGTGCTTTCTGTGGTGGTGGGCAGCCAGCTGAAAATACGGAGCGTAGGTGTTGGTAATGTTCTCTAGTAGCGCCGTGATTGGCTCAGTGTTCTGTCACTCATGGGGACACTACGTCACCGCCAAGTCTAAGGGTAGAGCTCGAAAATTCAAGCCCCTTGGGTGTTGCCATAGAGTTACATTAGAAGTGCCCATCCAAGAAGGCTCAAGGTCATTTGCCACAGATAAAATTATGTCAAATCACGTTATATCTACAGTAGCTTTGATTGGACTGATCATGTCAACATCATACGTTCAAAATCTAGCTAGCAGTCATCATCATGAATCAAGTCGACAATCTACTGGCAAATCCTTTTTAATCCTTGTCATATGAAGAGAAATAATGAAGAGAAATTATAAATAAAACGTATCGGTGCTCATCGGCCATTGGACATAAACATTACACAACAAGTTGGAAATCGCAAATTCAACAATGAGTGGTTTGGAAGGAATCAATGGCTAACTGCAAGCATTGCAAAGCAATCACTAGCCTGATATTCAGTGGAGTGGCTGTGTGGTCCAAAGTCTGGGATTAAGGGTCTCTTTTCCAAGCTTAAAATGATAAACATTCAACATTGGCCATGCTGTCAATGAAGCATAATTGTGCCGCGTTCAAAACAACTGTTAACTCAGAACTGCGAAATCTGACTTCAGTGAGTTCAAGACAACTGAGAACTCTGGAAAAACGAGCCCCGATTGGGAAAATACATTTTGAACGGTCGTCCAACTCGGAATTGTAAATTGGGAACTCGGGCCTCTTTCTAGAGCTACGACCTGAAGATCACTGACGTCATCATGATTCGACCTTGTTTTTTTCCGAGTTCCCAGTTGTCTTGAAAGCACCATAAATCCAGAGAATGCCAGACTTTGATGACAAAGTTTAATGACAAAATTAGCCCACGAAGACTGCCGCGCCATCTTCCTGTTTAAGTGAGCACAGCACAACAAGGTGAGTCCAAAAATGTATTGTATGCTGCTGCATAAATGATGTAATATGCCAGGGAGATATGTATACTGTAGCTAAGAAAGTAATACTAAGTGTATGTTGTGTAGTAAGCTGTTAGTAGCCCATGTGCCTCACCCTAATACTTTGGTCTATTTTCCCCTCTTAATTTCGCCTACTGTTCTGACTTGGTGGTGCACATGTAGCCTATAACCTGTGTTAGAGAAATGTAATCATTGAATATTGTAAGAGCATTCATTGTCTGCTTATATGCCCCCTTTATTTATCCTATGGTTCTGACTTGGTGTACAGGGAGAACACTGTAAGAATGTTCTGAATTCTGTCACTGTACATTTCAAAAGTGCTGAACAAATAGTTATATTGACTACGTCCGTCCTAGCTCGCTCATTAATGTCTTAATCAAAATTACGGATTGCCTCTTATCCGCTTGTCGTCCCGTTATGCCATAGTTTGTACATCTCAATTGTCAGTAGAAACCACATTTGTTTAAGCAAGTCAGCCATATCAGCTATGTTTTCTTTAAAGGCAGTAAATGAGGCTGAATGAACTGTTTCGCTGCCAGACAAGGCTCCACTGATAGCCATGTGTAGCAGTGGTAAGGTGTTGGGACTGCTGTTGGGACTCTGCTGTTGGGACAGCTTTATGTTGACCCTAACAGTTTGTGGGCACTGTTTGGCATCGTTATAGTGCAATTCACGTATTGTTTAGTGTTGTGTTGTGTAGTGGCTTTGCTGGCATGCATCCCACTTTTTTTGTTTTGTTTGCCCCACCAAGATTTACATGCTAAAATCGCCACTGCCTGTAGTCCACGATCAGCTCCTTTGTCTTGCTGACGTTGAGGGAGAGAGTTGTCCTGGCACCACTGCCAGGCCATTGACCTCCTCCCTATAGGCTGTGTCATCGTCATCGGTGATCAGGCCTGCCACCTTTGTGTTGTCAGCAAACTTAATGATGGTGTTGGAGTCGTATGCGGCCAAGCAGTCGTGGGTGAACAGAGAGTACAGGAGGGGACTAAGCACGCCCCCCTGGGGGGCACCCGTGTTGAGGGTCAGTGTGGCAGTTGTGTTGTTACCTATCCTCATCACCTGGGAGCGGCCCATCAGGAAGTCCAGGATCCAGTTGCAGAGGGTGTTCAGTCCCAGGGTCCTGAGTTTAGTGATGAGCTTGGAGGGCACTATGGTGTTGAACACTGAGCTGTAGTCGATGAACAGCATTCTCACATAGGTGTTCCTCTTGTCCAGGTGGGAGAGTGCAGTGTGGAGTTCAATAGAGATTGCGTCATCTGTGGATCTGTTGGGGCGGTATGCGAGTTGGAGTGGGTCCATTGTCCATAGAAAGCATAAATTAAAAAGTTTTGTTTAAATGTTTGTCCTGTTTCACATGTATTCTTCAAAATAAATTAATTATATTTTCCTCCTGCTTTTTGAAGAAGGATGCAGACACTTTCCTGAGGATGCTCCTGGTGTAGACCTCCAGAAACACCATGATGTATCCCACCAGACAGAGTAGTGTCAGTAAGACCCTCACTCTCAGGTGTGGTGCCGAGGGCTCTACATCACAGAGTAATGCCTCTGGGCTGAATGTCCAGTCATACTGCTTGTGGAAGTTTGCCAGTTCTGTATCCCCACAGATAGCTGGGATAATACATAGGCCTGGGAAGCGCAGCTGAACCTGTCAGAGAAAAGAGACTCCAGTCACCATTTGTCCAATGTGTTATTCAATTTCATATCATCATTGATCTCAAGGCTACACATTATGTAATGTCACATTATGTTCTGGGATGTGCCTGACCTCATATCGAAAAGTATCAATATTGACCTACCTTATATTTTTCACAGCAATGCTGACAGATGTAGCTGGAACATCCAACAGCCAAGGCCCATTCACTGTAACTAGATGGTACACCATTAAACTCTTATAAAAAAAGGTGCTGTCTAGAACCTAAAAGGGTTCTTTGGCTGTCCCCATAGGAGAACCCTTTGAAAACATTTTTTTGTTTCCAGGTAGAACCCTTTTGGTTCCAGGTAGAATCCTTTTGGGTTCCATGTAGAACCCTTTCCACAGAGGGTTCTACAAGGAGCCAGCCGAATAACCTTTTTGGAACCCTTTTTTCTAAGAGTGTAATATTGGAGCAAGACATCTGGTAAATTCCTGTTTTGTTATTTTACAACTTGTGGAATTAACCATATTTTTCAGGTTAGTTGGTTTTATTTGGATTCCATCATCAGATTCCTTTTGCAACAACTGTCTTGTGATGTAAACATTGTCAAACTTAACTGAAATGACATGTGACTTCAGGTATCAGGCTGATTCAACTATTCGATATATTGCAAAGTTGGCCACCAGAATCCTGTTTGACAGAAGTTTATACTCCTCCAACAGTTTCTTGGCATGTAAAAAGTCCCTCTCAATCAGTTTGCTTACTGTAACAAACCTCTTTTTGACCTCTGACACATCAAATTGATCACATTTTCTCTGTCTGGTAATAATATTCAGTTCTTCCTGTTTTACTTTGATAGCCTATCTAACAAGATCTCTCTTTGCTTCTTGAAAAAGCCCAGATGAGTTTAAAAAAGAGCGGGCAAAATCTTCAGTTGCACTTTAAAAAGTGCATCACCACTCCCATGTTAACAGTTATGTCGGGATGACGTTCAACACTAACACCATCACAGAACAGAGGTGGAGATGATCAGCTTGCATCACTGTTTGGTGCCCAGAGTGTGCAGGACCACAACAGAGAGGATGACAGAGGTACGAGACGAAAAGGATGGCCACACTATAGATGCAGGCAGCAGTGCTGGAAGTACCACTGTCATATCTCAGGATCTCTGTCATCCAATGGTAGAGGAGACCACCAGTCACCATGGCGATAATGAAACATAGAAAGCAACTTCACTTTTATAAGCCAGCTTTCTTAAATTCACAAGAAGGACCTAGCACAGTTCACTATGAAAATATTATACATTTGACATGAATAACATGGTTATGAATTCCTTAAATCATCTCATAGCCCACGTAGCTGTCTGTAATACAGTAACCTAATGTCTCTTTCACTCAAGAGACAGAGAAATGCACACCTACCTGAATGAAAAGGCAAAGCCCATGTTCTCCCTCATGAACTTCATTCTCCTTCGTAACAGTGCATGTGAGTTACAAAGTTGTATGATGGGGTAACTTTGAAGTTTGAAAAAGGAGCTTATCAATCTGTCACATAGATATGTGTAAGATGGTTCTCAAAGGGGACAGAAGGGCTCTTGCTCATGCTCACATGCTGACACACTCACTCACATGGACAGGTGTGACAAATCAACACATGAATCAAGTTATTGGGGAAAAGCGTGAGCTGAAAATGATGAAAGTTGTTAAACATTCAATACTTGGTGACTATTAATTTAGGGAAGAATTGGTGATTTGAAAGGTGCTAAAGCATATGAACAGTGTGGTACAGATGTAGAATCTTAATTTGATCACTCTTTTGTTGCTGAGAATTTTCCTGCAAAGCAGGAAATGCAAACTTGTAGTGTATTTGAGTTTTTAAAAGGCTTCTAAAGTTTGTAATTTCCACTTTTAAATGTCAGACTTGGTTTGCCCTAACAAAAAATGTATCAACCCCTACAAACATTTACATTAATTATAATCCACATAATAATTCACATTTCCTGTTGCTGCAGGATTATTTTCCTGCTGTAGCAAACTGGCTCAAATTAAGATCCTACATCTGTATCCTATTTATAGATCTATACATAACCCTGTGGGAAGTCATATATTCTACTACTGACTAATAGGAGGAGGTATTGTTATTATCTGGGAATCAATGAGCATGAACCTTCGACAAGCTGAAAAGGGAAAGGATCTAATCAACCCCTAATCAATTGTATGGGTCAGAGTTTTCCAAATCTAAATGTTCAGCTAGGAATTACATTTCCCTTTGTATTATGGTCAAATAATTTACAGTATATTTGATTGGTTTAGCATCAAGGTCTAGCAATTTCATGTATGGTACGACTTGTCAAACTTCCTTTTCCAACATTTTGTAGTAAGTTCTTCTATTTAATGTGTGTTCTGTGCTGCTGCGTTTCTTGGGTTCTGTTGTAGTTTGTCTTGTTTACTGGGGCCTCCCCCAATGACTGAGTAACTACTTTAGTGTTCTGCGGAGTTAACGATGTGCCAGACCTTGAGATTGCAGACACTTTACAACACCAAACACACACTATAAGGAATGTACAGCCCTGCACCATTCTTTAAATAAATAGGGGGCAAAATACTGTATGTCTGCTTGGTTTCAGACGCATACGTAAAAATGGTGTTCAAACTAAATTTCAATGCAACCTTCTTTCAAATGTGTTGTTCGCCTGTTAGCGCGCCTCATTTGGCTTATTGGGTATCTTGTTTGGTGCTGTCAGACACCGCTGTTAAATGAGACTTGATTGCAAAGGGCTGCCTCCTTCCTACTTATTATACTGTGTCACCTGGGTCAACGATTAAAAATGACTATTGTGGCTTGGCACCCTTCTGAATATTAACCATGGTTTTAGTTGTTCTGTTATATATATTACTGTGTTGCATGTCTGTTGGTGCCTGCTCACTGACATCAGCTAAATATAGCAATTCCATGGCTTGACGAAAAAAGAAACTAACTCATTTGCCGTTCAGTTTTATTTGGTAACAAGAGAAGTATTAAGAAAATAACAAATCTACAAAATTTGCATCAATAAAGCTAAATGTATTACACTAAATACAAACTATGGTAGAAAATACTTATTTCGATTTCCACACCACATTTCTAATGATTATTTCAAATAAAATAAGATCAGAAAATCATGATTTCTGGTTTTAAAAGACATGAGAAAAATTAGAAATGACCTTCTGTGTGTCAATTACAAACATATGTTAAAACATGTGCAGCCAGTGACCCCATGGGCTAGGTAAGTATATTTTATGAATAACTCACAAACTCCTGTTGTGCATCAAGACAGTCACAGCTTATACAACTAAAGATCAATGGAGGATTGAGTTAAAGTGTCATTTACCAGTAGGTGGAGGACTTGGAGGATGAGCGTTCATTTTCTTGCTAACACACTAATCAATAAGGATTACCACCACAAACACTATCCAGGGAATGTTACAGTGAGGTACAGTATGAGACACACACAGTGAACAGTGCATAGTGGCACAATGACCAGCAGAGGTCACTAAGATGCAAGCATCGCGACAGATGAGACAGACATCACCGGTGTCTGGACAAAAACTATGTCCGACATGACTTGTTGTATAACTGTGGAAGAGAATGAAACAACAGACAGACCAACACTGTCTATTCTGTCGCCCCCCTGCCCTGCCCAAACAAATGAACTTCCAATGGAAACATGGCATGGAACCTAAAACAAATCAAAGCAAAACACTGGACACATCTGGGGAGAGCAGGTGTTCCTGACAAACAAGAAAATTAGCTGATAGAACTTGGTATAATCTACATGACAGAGTAAGTAGAGCACAATGAGAGCCTGAACAAAATATAAACAGTTTAAAAAAAATCTAAACTCATATACAGTAGACCGATCGAAAAGTACAATACCTTAGCAACATGGTATAGCCATCACACCATAGGCTAAATTACTTAAAGTACACAGCTAATTCTCCCCAAGTCTATAGTTATTGACTTTTGTACATATTCAGAAATTATGATCTCGTATTTACTGTATAATACAGTGTAATAATTGTACCGGATAAGCTTCAGCTCTATGGTAAACTAGTAAGGTTAAAAGGTGAGTCGGAGGGGAACTGTATATCTGTGACAGTACTGGACATGTTGCTTGGATGAGCCCAGTCTGGATAAGTCTCCAAACTGAACATGGCACGACCCCAAGTGTTCATGGCCAGAGAAACCGATAAAATGCCCAAAATGTTCATCACAAAGCCTGTTTTCACCTGTAAATAGAGAAACCAAACAGATGTATCTGCTAGAATACAGTACATGTAATTTTAAGGACAGTCTGATATATGGTCATACAGTATGTCAGCGTAAGGATCTTACCATGTCCTTCACCAAAAGATGGCCAGATGCAAAGGCAATGGAGTTGGGAGGGGTGGAGACTGGCAACATGAAGGCAAATGAACATCCTGTTGTCGCAGGTATCATAAAGTAAAGAGGGTTCACCTTGATAAACATAGCCTGTAGAGAGGAGACAAACACATTTGTTGCTATTCTTTTGACAAAATTGTGTTCATGCAAACTAATAATAAGTGGCAATGATATTCCAAATTGTTAGTAGTAATGTATTTGGCTTAGGAATTTCACTGAAGATAAGTAAGTATGGCGCACTTGTCATGGTGATACTGGATGATACTGGGTGGGTGATACTATTGCTTATATTGAATGATTCTGCAGGACATTGTCACACCCAGCCAAAGACACCTGATTACTGATAACTGTAGTTAATGTCCAACAGACATACAAATAGACCCAACAGCCATGGTGCTACACTGACGGATCTGTTAACCCCATGGCAAACACTAAAAAGGTAAATTGCAGTGGGAGATTAGAGTAGAGAGCACCTATTTCCCCATTTTCCATATGAATTAGTAATCCAATGTAGTTCAAGGCTTTATGGTAGATAACAAGGGATATTCAAATACTACACACAAAATACATGTCTTGCTGAACTAAACGTTGAATGTTGTGGTCATGTCATAGATGACATCTCACCAGTTCAGCGATGACGGGCAGGAATATGATAATGGTGGCGGTGTTGCTGGCAAACTCTGTGAAACAGGCCAGGAAAGCTGTGATGAACATGACGGCCACAGCAGGGGGGACCTGGGCAATAGGCTGGAGGTAGGCTCCTATCCACGCCGCCAGTCCTGACTCCTATATTATACAACAGGGACAGAGCGTCAACAGACAGCCCCTGTCTCAGTAGTAGCAGAAATAGGTCAAAAAGTATTTAAATCACCACACAACAGATATAAATGTGAGTTAAAGGGATTTCATGTCTATGTGCATCATTAAACATCAACAGGTTTTAACCATAGGGCATAATGATTCTATATGTAAATGCTATGGTTTTACCTCACATCCCTTGGCCATGGCAAAGCCTCCACCCAGCAACAGAATGATATTCCATGGGACACATTCCTGTGCTTTCTTCCATGATAGGAGAGGAACATATGGAGTATTTGATGCTGTGGAAAACATGACAGGGTGTACAATTAACCTCTGCCCACCAGCCGAATCCAGGTCAACCACTGAAATATCAGAATATCTAACCTGCAAGGGGCTTTGAAAAGGGGTAATAAAGAAAAGGCTGAAGGTAGGGGTTAAGGGTCAAAATATGCCCATGGCTGGGGTTTTGTTTTTCTCTCGGGTACCGCTGTGCCAGAAATGTTTAATGTGCCAATAAGTTCAATGTTTTGTGTGGCGACACATTTTTGAGAGATTAATAATAATCACACAAACAGAGGGGTTACAGTCTTACTTACCTCACAGCAGAATGCTGCTCAGACTCACTAATCTACGTCATTAACATTCCTCAGGTGATTTACAGTACCTTAAAACAGAGCCAATACAAGTTCTGCACTTCAGAAATTGACTAATGAAAGAATTCTAAAAACTATTCTGCTTTAATAGTCGTCAATGATACAGATGTCGGATCTTAATTTGAGCCAGTTTGCTACAGCAGGAGAATAATCCTGCAGCAACTGGAAATGTGAGTTATTATGTGGATTATAATTAATTGTCATTTTTTGTAGAGGTTGATACATTTTTCGTTAGGGCAAATCAAGTCTGAAATGTTAAAGAAGGAATTACAAACGTTAAAAGCCTTTTTAAACCTTGAATACACTACAAGTTAGCATTTCCTGATATGCCCGAAAATTCCTGCAACAACAGCATGATCAAATTAAGATACTGCATCTGTACTGTAATTTATTTCTGGTGAGGCATGATGTAAGGGATAATCAGCAAGGGGCTATGCGTTCTATGGAAAATAATGAGGACAATAATGAACGACGTAGGTGTGTTCCACAAAGCGCTAGCAATTTGACTTTTGCTTTCAAAAGCATCTCAAACATAGAACATGTAAGAATGAACTATAGCCATTGAATTCTACAGTGCAAATATACTGTGCGTTATAGGGAAATAATGCACGCTCTAGAATGCCCTTCAAGCCAATCAGAAACAAGTATTCAACAATGCCATGGTATAATGAATAATAATTTGAGTTTAAAACCATTGATCTACAGTATATGTATACAGCTGCTTCACTCCATCTAATATTTTGATTTGAAAACATCTGATGTGTCCTCTATATCAGTACAGAAAGGCGGTATGACTTGAGGCAGTGGTATTTTACATCTACATAATCCGAAAACCTATTTCTTATTATTTGGGACATGTCCTTTCCAGTACTGACCTCTAGAATCAAACCACCAGCTAAGAGAGGGCTTCTGGGAAGGGAAGAAAAATAGGATTGACACAATGATCACTCCTGTGGTCGCATCTGACACATACCTACAGTAGGAAGAGGATCAGAGAAGAAGAAGTCATGATGCAGCTGGTTTCCTCATGCCTCCAGTGAATTAAACAAACATTTCCTAGGTAACGGGCAGTGGATTGTTAGCTTTTAGTAAGCTTATCTCACTTACCCTTTGTTGAAAAATGTGGACCATCCAGTTACAAATTTGGGATCTCTTGTGAACAGGAGAACGGCAAACAAAATGAAAAAGAATGCGATGGCTCCTTCTGCAAAACTAAAATGGAAGATGGAAATTGTTGTCATTGAGAAATTCTACATTACTACTGACACATAGTACAGAGGGTCTAGAACAGGGGTCATCCTTAGTCCTGGAGGGCTGTAACAGGATTTTGTTCCATCCAACTGATTAAAATAAACAATCTAAAGCATGCGAACAATGTGGCCCTCCTGAACCAGAATTGGCCAACCCTGGTATAGGGTATGATTTAAGATTAGAGCATGTTGCCTGTGATTTAGTCTAGAGATATGCTAGAGTCCCTTACTTTATGGGGCCTAGTTTTCTGTAGTCTTCATCAATAACAGCCTCTGCTTTTTTCTCTGCTTGTGCTCTTTCGTCCTGTTTCTTCACACACAACCTGAACACAACAAATAGTATTAAAATAGTGTGAAAGTATCTGACAGGTAGGAGAATGTATTACTTCATATTATTTTTTAAAGTGTACAGGCAAAAATCCTAGAACTCTAGCACAGACTGCCTATGTGATCATCTATGGTCACGTTTTTATATTACACACTTATGAGGTACTTAGATTTGATTTGACCACCATACCGTGTATTCAAGCCCCCGTAGAGGAAAGAAATCCACAGCCATGCCAAGATGAGGAAGAACACCATGAGAGGAAAGGCAAATGCAAACCAAGAGCCAAAATTTATCAAGTCGCACTCTGGGAAGTAACTAGAACACAAAGAAGCAACTGTCAAAAACGGTACAGCAAACATGAAAAAAGTAATATTTTATGGTCTAAAATGTAACATGTTCTTCAAACACAGCTATTTGCCAGTTAAAGCGTAACTCAGGTTGTCAGGTTGGTGTCATATGCCTTTAAAGGTCCTCAATATCAAATCATTTCTGGGTAACAATTAAGTACCTTACTGTAATTTGTTTTTCATTTGTTGGTCTGAGTGGGGAGGGGAAAACTGAAAACTAGCTGTTATTGGCAGAGAGGTTTAGAACTCTCTTTCTTATTGGTCTATTGACTAATTTGTCACCAGGCAGGCCAAAACTCCATCACACCAAAACCGGCTGAAATTTCAGGCGGTCTTTTCAAACAGCTCTTACAGTAAAAGGGCATTATCATCATTTTCACAAGTTCACAGTATTATTCCAACCTCATAGTGTGGAAATACATTGAGTATACAAAACATTAAGAACATCTGCTCTTTCCATGACATAGACTGACCAGTGAATCCAGGTGAAAGCTATGATCCCTTATTGATGTCACTTCAATCAGTGTAGATGAATGGGAGGACAGGTTAAAGAAGGATTTTTAAGCCTTAAGACAATTGAGACATTGATTGTGTATGTGTGCCGTTCACAGGGTGAATGGGCAAGACAAAAAATCTAAGTGCCTTTGAATGGGGTATGGTAGTAGGTGCCAGGCGCACAAGTTTGTGTCAAGAACTAAAACGCTGCTGGGTATTTCACGCTCAACAGTTTCCCATGTGTATCAAGAATGGTCCACCATCCAAAGGACATCCAGCCAACTTGACACAACTGTGGGAAGCATTGGAGTCAATAAGGGCCAGCCTCCCTGTGGAACGCTTTCGACACCTTGTAGAGACCATGCCCGACAAATTGAAGCTGTTCTGAGGGCAAAAGGGGGAGGGGGGGGGGGGGGGTGCAACTCAATATTAGGAAGGTGTTCCTAATGTTTGGTATACTCAATGTATATATAAAACACAGGAAAATCACGTTTTTGACTGCACTGGGCCTTTAAGAGAAACTTCTGAATTCTGAAACATAACAGACTTTATTGCTTTATTGCTCTATCTGATGGACCTGTGAGGTCTATGAGAGGGTATGTACAGATGCAGTAGGAGAAAGTGAGATCAGTCAAGTCTTCAACTTGGGTACCTCTTAAGTTGTCCAATGAGGATGAGGTTTGGTGCAGTGCCTGTCAGGGTGGCAGTCCCACCGATACTGGCAGCATACGGGATACAGATCAGGAAGCCTTTCCACACCTTCATCTGGTACTCTGACTCTGTCCTGATCTCCTGTGCAGTCCTCCCATCTGACCGCGCCATCCCATCAGATCTTCAGATATAATATAGGGAAATGTAACCAAACAGATTATAACAATGCTAGTAAATAGCTACATGATAACCATGAATCCAACATGAGAGCTTAAATTGTTCAGTTTGTTTATGCTTGCTTTCTTACCCGTCTATAGACAAGATCTGTTTTTCAGAGGGCAATGAATGCAGCTTTACTTGTGATTGACCTGATGGATGTTGAAGTAAACAGGTTGTGTTAGAGTTATTCTCTCCATTGTTTGTTTACTCTGTGGTGACAAATGACAACATGTTTTTAAGGACAGGCTTAGACATAATAATCTCATATTGAAGACCAATTTGAAGGAGATTTAGGGGGTTATCTAAGTGTAACTGCCTCTATGGAGAATCAATGTGTTTCCCATAAACCAACTACTGTGATGCTACAGTTTCCATAGCTATAGTATGAATGAGACAAGCTATAATCTCCCGAGTGGCGCAGTGGTCTAAGGCACTGCATCGCAGTGCTAGCTGTGCCACTAGAGATCCTGGTTCGAATCCAGGCTCTGTCGTAGCAGGCCGCGACCGGGAGACCCATGGGGCGGCGCACAATTGGCTCAGCGTCGTCCAGGGTAGGGGAGGGAATGACCGGCAGGGATGTAGCTCAATTGGTTTGCAACGCCAGGGTTGTGGGTTCGATTCCCATGGGGGGCCAGTATAAAAAAAAAAGGATGTATGTACTCACTAACTGTAAGTTGCTCTGGATAAGAGCGTCTGCTAAATGACTTAAATGTATAACAGAGATATTTAACAATTTATATGTAATCAAAGCCTGTGAGTTCCAGTTTTCTAAGTAGGTTGTCTGTAGACCTTTGTCATATTTAAAAAATGACTTGAAAGGCGGATACCATAATCAATCAATTACCATTTGAATATTGAATAACTTGACATACCTCTGCTCTGCTCTGAAGGCAATATGATGGAAGAAGTACAGTAGTTGTACAAAGTTCACACCCCGAGTTACATATTACAGTTTTAATGTGGAAACATCACTCTTAGCTATAGAAAATGGAAGTATAGTCTGTTTGTCTGTGTAAGCCTCGTGTCAAACTCATTCCACGGAGGCCCGAGTGTCTGTGGGTTTTCACTCCTCCCTCCTACTTGATTGATGAATTAAGGTCACTGATCAGTTAGGAACTTCTCTCACCTGGTTGTATAGGTCTTAACTGGACACAAATTGAAAGGAAAAAACAAAAATCAGCAGACACATGGCCCTCCATGGAATGAGTTTGACACCCCTGGGTAAGCACTACAAACAATTAGCATTAATTCTCCCCCTTCAGTGTCGATAGAGCAAATTTGTCCTGGTTTAGCTACTATATGGGTCTTAATCTTTTCACTAGATGTGTGTGGGACAGTTGGAGAAACCTTACACAGCAACTCACCCTCTGTCTCCTCTTTCACCTTGCAGTTCTCTTTCAGAGTGGCCAGGTCCCCAAAGAGGCTCTCCAGGATGGCGTTAGCAATGGGAAGCATCATGGCCGTTGTTGCTGTGTTGCTGAGCCACATGGACAGGAAGGCAGAGGTGATCATCATTCCCAAAATCAACCTGTATGGGGAGAGAGATGGGCACATGGACCAGCTGTAAGTGGAGTGGCAAAATAATACAATGATTATCAATAACATTTCTGATAACAAGATTATGTATATTTTGCCATATGCAGTGGATTCATATTAGATAATGGAAACTAATTGCAAAATATCAATGATTATAAATGTATTACTGTTGTATATAGAAAGCAAGGAATTGCTAAAGCTAACTCTCTCTCCTCTGCTCTTGTCCTTCTAGACCTGTCTGCTGCCTTTGATACTGTGAACCATCAGATCCTCCTCTCCACCCTCTCCGAGCTGGGCATCTCCGGCGCGGCTCACTCTTGGATTGCGTCCTACCTGACCGGTCGCTCCTACCAAGTGGCGTGGCGAGAAGCTGTCTCCGCACCACGTGCACTCACCACTGGTGTCCCCCAGGGCTCAGTTCTAGGCCCTCTCCTATTCTCGCTATACACCAAGTCACTTGGCTCTGTCATATCCTCACATGGCCTCTCCTATCATTGCTACGCAGACGACACACAACTAATCTTCTCCTTTCCCCCTTCTGATAACCAGGTGGCGAATCGCATCTCTGCATGTCTGGCAGACATATCAGTATGGATGACGGATCACCACCTCAAGCTGAACCTTGGCAAGATGGAGCTGCTCTTCCTCCCGGGGAAGGACTGCCCGTTCCATGATCTCGCCATCACGGTTGACAACTCCGTTGTGTCCTCCTCCCAGAGTGCGAAGAGCCTTGGCGTGACCCTGGACAACACCCTGTCGTTCTCCGCTAATATCAAGGCGGTGACCCGATCCTGTAGGTTCATACTCTACAACATTCGGAGAGTACGACCCTGCCTTACACAGGAAGCGGCACAGGTCCTAATCCAGGCACTTGTCATCTCCCGTCTGGATTACTGCAACTCGCTGTTGGCTGGGCTCCCTGCCTGTGCCATTAAACCCCTACAACTCATCCAGAATGCTGCAGCCCGTCTGGTGTTCAACCTTCCCAAGTTCTCTCACGTCACCCCGCTCCTCCGCACACTACACTGGCTTCCAGTTGAAGCTCGCATCTGCTACAAGACCATGGTGCTTGCCTACGGAGCTGTGAGGGGAACGGCACCTCCGTACCTTCAGGCTCTGATCAGTCCCTACACCCAAACGAGGGCATTGCGTTCATCCACCTCTGGCCTGCTGGCTCCCCTACCTCTGCTGAAGCACAGTTCTCGCTCAGCCCAGTCAAAACTGTTCGCTGCTCTGGCACCCCAATGGTGGAACAAGCTCCCTCACGACGCCAGGACAGCGGAGTCACTCACCACCTTCCGGAGACATTTGAAACCCCACCTCTTTAAGGAACACCTGGGATAGGATAAAGTAATCATTCTAACCCCCCCCCTTACCCCACCCCACCACCCCAAAAAAAAAAAAAAAAAAAAAAAAGAATACGGATAAGAGTGTCTGCTAAATGACGTAAATGTAAAATGTAAATGTATATGGCGATATAGACTTCTCACCAGGCTGGTTTGACTCCAACAATCTTAAGAACTTTCAGAGCTATTCTGCGATGCAGACCCCATTCCTCGATAGCTGATGCCATCACAAGACCACTGAGAAAGAGAAAATTGGTATCGAGGAAGTACTGAGGGCAGACTTTTTTAGATGGAAGAATTCCCATTGTTGGAAAGAGGCAAACAGGTAGCATGGCAGTGACAGCTAAGGGAAGAGCCTCTGTGCACCAGAACACAGCCATTAGCAGCACCACGTACAGACATTTCCCCTCCTGCAAAATATAACAGAAACATGTTGGTGAACATTCAGAGTAAAAGCCAAAGGTGATCTATTTCATTAATGTTTGTATCACGCTGTGGAAAGACAAATATACAAGGAATTTACTTTTTTTCTGTGGCTGGAATTGCAAAATTAGGGGGGAATTGTAAATAAATAAGCCTCTGAAGTGATTAATAATTGGGTTAGGGCTCAGATTGGGCTATGGTTATGATTAAGATGGAGGAATGGAGTTAGGGTTCAGTTATTGATGTAAGGATTGCTGTTTTAGTTTTAACTTTATCAACCTAGACCAGATGAAAATGATAGAATAATGCTAGTTGACCAATTTTAGGTTTTTAAATCTAATGGGACAAGTCTTATGATCCTGATTCTAATTTCAGTGAAGTCTTATTCCAACAGATGTTGGTTTAAAGGGTGTTCAGATTTAAAGGCAGGTGTGGATATTATTAATCATATCCGTTTTAGGCTATGTGGCAATACTGTATTTAACCAGTGCCTGACTTTCAGTAGTAGGTCATGGCAATTTGATATGGTTCAGCAATTTGGCTTAGTTAAATACAGTTACAAAAACTACTTTTTCTTCTGAGTTAGAGAAATAAATGGTTAGAGTAACAAGATTTGTGTTTCTTCCAATAACCACTTACCTTTTCCGGTAGACCAAAAATTAACGGCAGAAGAATAAGCGGAGTGAGGGAAATAATAAGTTGTTTCTTGATGCACCAAAGCTTCTTAGCGAATATTGTTATTGTTTCCATTTCCATGCCGAATATTCCTTTATCGAAGAGCGCCAAAGCTTGTTATGTGACGCTTGAGTGCAGAACTTTGAAGCCTCAGTTTTATCACTTTGACTCCGTTGTTTTTGCACTCTTGGAGAAGATTAACTATTGGTTTACAGGTTAACTCATAACGCATTGTTCAAGTTATTAGGGATGCGCGCGCAAGTTGAGCTTGCTCTGTGGTTGCACCATTGGTAGGTGATTTATTTTATTTTACTGATAATAACCAAAATGTTAAGAATTCCAGTAGTCTTGTCTTTCTGGTTCCTCCCTGCAAAACAGATGCCCGCCATGTCAACAGTCATCAAAAACTGCTTCCATCATCATGGGATCTTATAGCCAACAACCCATCCATGGTTGATCACAAAAGGGATGGGGCCAAATAGGTAAACCATGTAAACTTGAACCAAATAGGTAAACCATGTAAACTTGAACCAGCGATCTTGAAATTATAGGACAAGCTTACCACGGACATGTGCCATAAAGGTCCGAATTGAGCAGAAATCATATGTTTGGAAACAAATGGAGACCAAATACATGGAGATTACAATGGTAATCTGTAACACTTGGCTATACACAGTTTAAATAGGATGCATTTACACCGGCAGGCCAATTCTGATATTTTTCCCACTAATTGGTCTTTTGACCAATCACATCAGATCTTTTCACATCAGATCTTTTTCAGAGCTAAGAATTGGGCTGCCTTTAATTGTTTTTGGTATTTAATTGATAGATAGATTATATTGCCTTTATTGGCTGGTTTAATAAAGAGGTGACTTCAGTTCATTGGTGATTTCATTGGTGGCTCCCACCATTGCGCGCGCAACAACGCAATGTCTACAAATGTTGCTATAAGCGATTGGCCTAACCGTAAATTCTCCATCTACCAAGTGACAAATGTGAAGTGAGGACATTGGCTACTTTAAAAGACATTGTTGTTAAAAGCAGGAGAAAAACTTGGTAGCCAACTGCCTGATTTGGCAATGCTCAATAGAAGTCAATGGCAGGCTCGTTTCTCTCCCACAGGAGTAGCTCCCTCTCTATTCAACTTTCTAAAGCCATTTATAACTACCCTGGCCAGAAACGGTCTCTTCAGTGCTGGCACGACTGACGGCCTCTTAGAGGTCAGAGCCAACCCTCTATTGCTCTTGGTCACAGGAATAAGCAGTGCTTTCCACAGTTGAACTATTCTCTGTGATGCAGAGGTGCCCTCTAGTGTCATAACATGTGTCACACATAACCACTGGTTTGTGGTGAGTATGTGTGGAAAATACAGTAAGTGTGGAAACCAATTAGTATTAAAGTTTCTTAAAGGAAGAAAGGTTCCTCAGCAAAGGTAATAAAGAGTTTGTGATCTGCACAAGCAAAGTTTTACTCATATAAATATATTACTAGGTATTCTTCCTGCTATATAACATAATCAGAATAACAGGGTGCATGCAGATTAGTTGAGGAGAAGGTTAGAGACAGACAGTCAGCCATAGCTACAGGCAATGGACTAACCATAACTGTTGTGTATTGGGTTTTTGCCGCAGAGCTTCATAGGAGTTGTGTATGTTGAGATGCCAATAGTTTAACGGATTGCCGTCTCCCATGTCATCATTATTGAATTGTTATAAAGACGTGGTTATGAAAGCCATGAGACATAACAATAACCCTCATCCCCAGGCTAATTGTGATTATACCATGACATTGTGGTTTACGCTTAGCAGACAGTGCAACTAAGCAACTGTGCTCTTAGATGCTAAAAAAAGGGACAGTGTCAACATTTTCCATTCAGTTAATCCAAATAAAATAGCAAGTGCGCTTCAAAGACACATTACAAACCTGGCTAGACTTCGGCCATTCCCAAAGGACAGGTTTCCCCTGTGGGTTTCCCCCTGCACCCTATTTGCTTTTTACCTGCTATGACCCTGAATATTGGCATCTCCAGCTTGGCTGCACATCAACTGTCTTCCCACCTCATTTTTAAAGATCACAACAACAACAAAAATACTTAATCCATGCCAGTTGTTTAATGCTATCTTGGATGAAATGCAAACAGTTCCTGAAGTAAGAAAAGGTTAGGCCCGTACTTATGCCTATACAGTGGGGGGGAAAAGTATTTAGTCAGCCACCAATTGTGCAAGTTCTCCCACTTAAAAAGATGAGAGAGGCCTGTAATTTTCATCATAGGTACACGTCAACTATGACAGACAAATTGAGAACATTTTTTCCAGAAAATCACATTGTAGGATTTTTTATGAATTTATTTGCAAATTATGGTGGAAAATAAGTATTTGGTCACCTACAAACAAGCAAGATTTCTGGCTCTCACAGACCTGTAACTTCTTCTTTAAGAGGCTCCTCTGTCCTCCACTCGTTATCTGTATTAATGGCACCTGTTTGAACTTGTTATCAGTATAAAAGACACCTGTCCACAACTTCAAACAGTCACACTCCAAACTCCACTATGGCCAAGACCAAAGAGCTGTCAAAGGACACCAGAAACAAAATTGTAGACCTGCACCAGGCTGGGAAGACTGAATCTGCAATAGGTAAGCAGCTTGGTTTGAAGAAATCAACTGTGGGAGCAATTATTAGGAAATGGAAGACATACAAAACCACTGATAATCTCCCTCGATCTGGGGCTCCACGCAAGATCTCACCCCGTGGGGTCAAAATGATCACAAGAACGGTGAGCAAAAATCCCAGAACCACACGGGGGGACCTAGTGAATGACCTGCAGAGAGCTGGGACCAAAGTAACAAAGTCTACCATCAGTAACACACTACGCCGCCAGGGACTCAAATCCTGCAGTGCAAGACGTGTCCCCCTGCTTAAGCCAGTACATGTCCAGGCCCGTCTGAAGTTTGCTAGAGTGCATTTAGATGATCCAGAAAAGGATTGGGAGAATGTCATATGGTCAGATGATATATGGTCAAAATATAACTTTTTGGTAAAAACTCAACTCGTCGTGTTTGGAGGACAAAGAATGCTGAGTTGCATCCAAAGAACACCATACCTACTGTGAAGCATGGGGGTGGAAACATCATGCTTTGGGGTTGTTTTTCTGCAAAGGGACCAGGACGACTGATCCGTGTAAAGGAAAGAATGAATGGGGCCATGTATCGTGAGATTTTGAGTGAAAACCTCCTTCCATCAGCAAGGGCATTGAAGATGAAACGTGGCTGGGTCTTTCAGCATGACAATGATCCCAAACACACCGCCCGGGCAACGAAGGAGTGGCTTCGTAAGAAGCATTTCAAGGTCCTGGAGTGGCCTAGCCAGTCTCCAGATCTCAACCCCATAGAACATCTTTGGAGGGAGTTGAAAGTCTGTGTTGCCCAGCGACAGCCCCAAAACATCACTGCTCTAGAGGAGATCTGCATGGAGGAATGGGCCAAAATACCAGCAACAGTGTGTGAAAACCTTGTGAAGACTTACAGAAAACGTTTGACCTGTGTCATTGCCAACAAAGGGTATATAACAAAGTATTGAGAAACTTTTGTTATTGACCAAATACTTATTTTCCACCATAATTTGCAAATAAATTAAATAAAAATCCTACAATGTGATTTTCTGGATTTTTTTTCTCATTTTGTCTGTCATAGTTGACGTGTACCTATGATGAAAATTACAGGCCTCTCTCATCTTTTTAAGTGGGAGAACTTGCACAATTGGTGGCTGACTAAATACTTTTTTTCCCCACTGTATGTATTGTTTGTGAAAATGGAGGAGGAGACAGTAAAAAGTGAAGGATTAAACTCCATGTGTGACTTATTTTATGAATTAGAAATATTCATCTTCTCACTTTGACTGCAAGTAAGACACATTAGCAGAATGTGAATATAAATAGATTAAGAAAAAACAAGAAAGAAAAACAATAGGGTGACTTACAGTGCTAAATTAATTATCCTTGGATTTCTTCACAATTTATTGTATTTCAAGTGGGATTAAAATTGATTTAATTGTTTAAAATATATATATATATATATATATATATATACAATCTACACAAAATACTCTGTAATGTCAAAGTGGAATAATTTTTTTAAACATTTTTTAAAGATCAATAGAAATTAAATAACTAAAATGGTGTCATTGCATAAGTATTCAGCTCCCTGAGTCAATCAATACATGTTAGAAACACCTTTGGCACCGATTACAGCTGTGAGTCTTTCTGGGTAAGTCTCTAAGAGCTTTGCACACCTGGATTGTGCAATATTTGCCCATTATTCTCTAAAACATTCTTCAAGCGCTGTCAAGATGTTGGGGATCATGGCTAGACAACAATTTTCAAGTTTTGCTATAGATTTTCAAGCAGATTTAAGTCAAAACTGTAACTTGCCCACTCAGGAACATTCACTGTCTTCTTTGTAAGCAACTCCAGTGTAGATTTGGCCTTGTGTTGGTGTAAAGCAACTGGTTTTCCTCTAGGATTTTGCCTGTGCTTAGCTCCATCCCGTTTCTTTTTATCGTGAAAAACGGCCCAGTATTTGCCTATGTCAAGCATACCCATACCATGATGCAGCCACCACCTTGCTTGAAAATAAGGAGGCAGTTATTCAGTGATGTGTTGTGTTGGATTTTCCCCAAACATAAGGCTTTGCATTTAGGCCAAAAAGTGTATTCCTTTGCTGTGTTTTTTTGCAGTATTACTTCAGTGCCTTGTTGCATACAAGATGCAAGTATTCTGTATATTTGTATTCTTCTTTTCACTCTGTCATTTAGGTCATTATTGTGGAGTCACTACAGTGTTGTTGAGCCATCCTCAGTTTTCTGCCATCACAGACATTGAACTCTGTAGCTGTTTTAAAATCACCAATGGCCTCATGGTTACACCCCTGAGCTGTTCTGCAGCTCAGTTCAGAAGGATGAATGTATCTTTGATGTGTCTGGGTGGTTTAATATGTAATCCACAGCATAAATATTAACTTGACCATACGTAAAGAGATATTCAATATCTGATTTGTTATTGTTACCCATTTACCAATCACTGCCCTTCTTGATGAGGCTTTCAAAAAGCTCCCTGGTCTTTGTGGTTGATTCTGTGCTTGAAATTCAGTACCTGACTAAGGGGCCTTACAGATGTTGTATGTATGGGGGACAGAGGAAGGGTTAGTCATTCAAAAATCATGTCAACCCCTATTATTTCACACAGAGTGAGTCCATGTAACTTATTATGTGATTTGTTAAGCCACATTTTACTCCTGAACTAATTTAGACTTGCCTAAACACTTATGCAACGACAATATGTTAGTTAGGATTTTGAAAA